CGTTCATTCATATTAATTACCAAATTTGGTTCGATTCGTCGTCTGCGGAAATAAAAATAAAAAATTTTCTCGTCGTAACACTTTTTTTTTTACGTACCCTTCGTATCGGTATAATAAATAAACCCGAGGCTATATGTAACGTTATTAAGGCGTTTACCACGTTAACGACCGACTATCACGAATATTATTCACAACAACCAACAACCGAACAACCAACAAAACAACCAGCAAAAGAAATTAATTAAAGCGAGGGAGGTATCAACAAAAAAAAAATCTTTTAAAATATTTTTTTTTCCCTAATTCATTCAACAAATTTTTTTTTTTTTTTTTAATAAACTCGACTCGATGTAATCAATCAATCGATCAATCGATCGATCGATTCATCGATCTATCGATAATTTTTCTTACATAATTCATTTGGAAAAAAAAAAAAAACTCAATTAAAATCCTCAAGCCCGAAGGGATCATTTTTATTTTCCTACCCTTTCCTTCTCCCTCTTTTTTTTCTATAATTGGGGAGTTTTACGTGCGGGGGTGGGGTGGAGGGAGAAACGTGGAATTAAACAAAATAAAAAATAACGAATTATTATTATTGTTTTTTTTTTTTTTTTCGCACGAAGCAAAGGTGCAAATTTTATTTGATTCACGTCGCGGTTAAAACGTGTTTTTGCACACCCCCCCTCCCGCGCACACCTTCACACACTTTCAGACACATCGAATTGTGAATGAATGAATGAATGAATGAATGAATGACGGACGTTGGCAATTTTTTTTTTTTTTTGTTCTATTAATTCGACTACCAGTTGGACCACCTTCCTTCTTCTCGAATTATCTTTTACCACTTTGATCCGTAATTATTAAGATAAAAAAATTCAAAATTGTTTCAAAACCCAAATACGCGCATGCGCACACGCACGGGTACCAAAAACCATCAATTATTGATTACGTAATATTAATAATAATAATAATGAAATTTTTTAATCAATTATTTTTACCGTGGAGACCGAAAGAGAGAGAGAGAGAGAGAGAGAGAGAGAGAGAGAGATAGGGACGAAATCGAACCGAATATTTTATTATTATTATTATTACTTGTCGTGTCAAATATAGTCATTTTGTTACTCGAACCAATTTTTTTTGTAAAATTTAAACAAACATAAAAGTGAAACCTATAAAATGATGACGTCATTTTAAAAAATTACAACATCCAATTATTTTATTAATTACCCGTTTAAAACTAAAGAGGAGAAAAAAAATTTTAAAATTATTATTATTATTATTATTATTATTATTATTATTATTTGAGGGACCACCCATCGAACGGGTGATTTGTTTGTTTGTTTTTTTTCAAAAATTTTATTCGAATCACAACAACAACAACAACAAAACTTCTTTTATTTAATAATTTATACGAACGGGTTCGAGTTCGCGCACTCACGCGCACACACGCACACAGGCACACGCAGGAGAGCCAACATATATTTTATGTGCAAAACAAACAAAAATAAATTTTTTCGAACAAACAAACAAACATAAAAAAAAATTATTATTTTTTTTTTCTTTGGGTACGCAACAAACGGTTTTGCAAAACGTTTCACACCAAAACTAATTTATTATTATTATTATTATCATTATTATTATTTTTAATTAGGCATGTCGAAAAAAAAAAGGTCATTTATTTATTTAAACTTTAAACTTTGACCTATTCCCCATTCTCTCTCTCTCTCTCTCTCTGTCTCTCTCTCTCTCACAAAAAAAAAACGCATGATAAATTCGATAATTAAACAAAATAATAATGATGATGATGATAATAATAATAAATAATAATGTCACGCGATTTTAACGGGAAAAAAATAAAAAACAAAATGGCGCCGACGCGATCGTTACGTTAAAATTACGGAACTTTTAAAAACCGTTCGAATGTTTCTAGAATGTTCGCAAGGAGAAAAAGTCCGATTTTAGGTTTGTTCGAATCTTTTTTAATTTCGGGGGGAAGGGGAAGGGGAGTGGGGGACAAGGCATCCCCGCATCCGGTTTTTATTTCTTCTGCTTTATTAGATCTGATGACGTCATTATTATAACGAACCGATATGATTTACTTTAATTACAAAAAATTTCGACTCCTTATCGCCATTTTTCTTTTTTCCAGACTTTCTGGAATTTATTAAAGTTTAACTTTCCGTTAATAAAAAAAAAACGAAAAAAACAAGTTACAAATTGTTATTATTATTATTATTAGCGTCGCGGCCATTTTAAATGACGTCACATGTTATGCGAGTTAATAATTCATTGGATCGTTAAGTAAAATTACGTAAAACGTAGTCAAAATTTATTTTTTCCGAATGAATTCGACCGTTATTTAAATTTTATTATTATTATTAATTTTTATCACAGGACCGTATCTAGAAACAAAACGATTTTTAATTGGTTTTTTTTTTTTTTCTTAAATAATTAAGAGTCGTAATCGCGGGAAAAAAAAAATTTTAATTTAAATTTAAAAATTCTTGACAGACTGCCTGACGACTTTAAAACGATATTTATGACGTTGTTTTTTTTTTTTTTTATTTATAAACATTACTGAACTCAACTGTTCAGATTAATAATAAATTCCAGGTTCCAGTAAGGTGCGGCTTGTTGTCGTCGTCTTACTACACAGGTTTTTTGCTTATTTGTTAAAAAAAAAAAAAAAAAAATTTTTTTTTTTTTTTTTTTACAACGCAATAAAAAAAATAAAAAAAATAAAAAAAAATCGAGAACGGGGTAAATGAATTATCATCATCATCATCATCATTATTATTAATAACAACAACAACAACAACAACAATTGCCAACATTTGAATAATTTTTTTTTTCCTTTTTCATTTTCCTTAAAAAAAAAAAAATATTTTTTTTTTCAATGGAATACCCCCGAACGAACGAACGAACGAACGAGCGAATGAATGAGCGAATGAATGAGTGAATGAATGAGTGTATGAATGAATGAATGAAATCGTCCACTCGTAATCGATTATTATTATTATTATTATTATTTTCGCAACGATAATCAAGTCGTCGACATTTTCGTCAGTCATTTTAAATTTGAAAAAAAAAAAAAAAAAAATTCATTTTTTCGATCGTTATAATAATAATAATAATATTAATAATAATAATAATAATGATAATGATAATAATAATAACCGTACCTACGTTCCAGGAACATTCTCGTTACACAAATAATTTATTTTTCCCCCTCTCCTCTCCTTCCCGTTTCTCTCTCTCTCTCTCTCTCTCTCACTCCAAAACGTTTGTGCCACCTTAAAGTGTTTTCCTCACCGTAGGGGTTTTTCTCTCCCCTTCCCTCTTCCCCCGCGTTTTTTTTAACGTTCAGGTATAATCCGGGTGTCTGATTTATTAAAAATCGATAGGTGATCAATTGATTAGGTTGTTGTTGTTGTTTTTTAACATGCTAATTTAAAACGCGGTAACTTTTAAGTTTAAAAAGAGGAAGCTACCGAGTAGTGGTAGTAGTGGTAGTAGTAGGTAGCAGCACTGTCACCTTCTCATTCTAAATATAATTTATTATTATTATTATTATTTAAATATGATTTACGTTCACCGGAACATTTAAAATCGTTTAACTTTAACCGGGGGGAAGGAAATAGGAGGGTGAAATGGAGGGAGAAAGAAAGGGGAAGGAGGAGGGGGAGTGGAAAACGAATTAGTTAACCCCTAAAACCCAAATTAAATTTAAAAAAAAAAAACTTCTGGAATTTTCTTATTGTTATAAACGATAACGATACTCTTATCAGTAATTTTTTATTTACGTATCTACGTCACGCCATTTTCCGTGCAGACATTTTTCTTTTTTTTTCAATAAGAAAACAATTGATTGGAAAAATCGATTGTTTATCGATAAAATCCATTTATTATCATTATTATTATCATTATCATTAATTTTTTTTTATATTTTATTTCGTCTGGAAACTACGTTTTGGAACTTGACGAGTGAAAAAATTTTATTTATTTATTTATTATTATTATTATTTTTTGCCATTTAAACGATCGATTTGCACCTAATAATATATATAAATTTTTTTTTTTTTTTTTTTTTAAGTGGAATCCCTTTTAACTTTTACGATCAATAAAATGTTTAGCCACCTCCCCCTTGCCTCCCCTTCCCTCCCGCCCCTCGCCCTCCTCCCGTTTTTATATCGATACATCGATTTTAAATCGTTAATAATAAAATATAAAAAAAACGATCTTAATAATAATAATAATAATAATTTTTGAAATCGAGACTGTTTTTTTTTCTAATAACTTTCCCCCATACCCCCCCTATCCGCCCCCGCGTCCCCCGATAAAAAAAAAATTCGTCGTTCATTAAGATATTTATTATCATTATCATTATTTTTTTTTATGGATTATAACTTAATTTATTAACGTACGAAAGTCGTTTTCATAAATTATTTTTTATAATTTGCGAAAAAAAAAAAAAAAAAAAAATTTGCAAGACGTTTATTTCCCGACGCCATATTACTTTCCCTTTATTTCATAATAATAATAATGATAATAATAATGATAATAATAATTAAAAAGGGGGAAATTTTTCTTATTATTAACGTAACAGGAAAAAAAATTGGTTCGTACCGCCGCGTTCGTCCTGTTGCAGTGCGTGGGTTTTTTTTTTTTTTTAAATTTTTCATTCCAAAGAGAGAAAGAGAGAGAGAGAAATACCTGTTTTCCGATAATCAGGTATCAATCCATTATACCTATACCTATATGTGTTGTGATTGGTTTGAATTTAAAATAACTACTACTACTACTAAAACAAATTAGTATTCACCTGTTTTAAACTCCTACCCACGTGGTGTTATTTGTATATATTAATACGTTTATTATTTTTTTTAATAGTTTTCCGTAATTGGATTTTTTTTTTTTTTAATTTGTTAACGAGAGTCGAATCAGAAGTATTAAGTAATATATTATTATAACGACGACGACGACGATAATTACCGCGAGTAAAATCATATGAGATTTAATTTAAACGTTTTACAGTTTGCGCCTTAAAAAATAAACGATACCGTTCTCAATACACAAAGCGAGTTTTGTTGCCTAGTTAAAATTTTGCAGTATGTCGAATTAACCCCAACGTTACGTTATTTATCGTTTTTATATATAATAATAAATTTGACTTACCCTTACATCCTTCGGGAGAGAGTCCGTAATGTTGAGATTCGCATTCATCGCATTTAGGGGATCGGGTACCTGATTTACAATCGCATTCTCCCGTCGTCGGATCGCATTCGTTACTTTCCGATCCCAGTCCACAATTACAATTTTCACACGAACCGTCTTCTGCGTATGTGTAACCCACAACGCACTCGCTACAATTTCGTCCATGATAATTATTTTTACACGGACATTGTCCGCTTATTTCGTCACAAAATTCACTTTCGGATCCATTCGCGTAACAATCGCAAGCTGAAAGAAAAAAAAACGGTAATAAAAGCCTTTTCCGACAAATGGAGGGGGGGCGGGGGGCGCAGGGGAGGAAAGAATAAAAACTTACGCGAGCAAAAAGACGAATTCGATGTTCTGTAATGATAAGGTTTACATTTTTCACAAAGGATCCCCTCTGTGTTTCCGGTACATTCTAAACATTTCCCTGTTTTATTATCGCATAAACCCCCGTTACAATCGCAGGGTGAGCAACTTCCTCCGATTTCTAAAGGATTTCCGTAAAAAAATTCATCGCACCTGGATAGAAACGGCGGAAGCATTATTATTATTATTATTATTATTATTATACGTCAAATGAATTTAGGATTTTTAAAATTATTATTACTCTTCGCAAAAATCTCCAACGTATCCCACGGGACATTCGGTACAGTAATAAAATTGTAAACCGTTTTCTTGTATTTCTTCCAATTCGCATTTCGGACTGAAATTATTACTCGGTATTAAAAGTGGGCAACCGCACGGTTGACAATCTTTCGGAGTACCCATCGTTGCATTTCCATAAAAACCATCTTTGCAAATACCGCAATCCTCACCCCGAGTGTTATGTTCGCATTTCTAAAACAAAATAATAATAATAATAATAATAACGCAACATTTTCATTTAAATCAATTTTCCGGATGAAATTTTTTTTTTATTTACCTGGCAGGTTTTCGTTTCCGGATCGCAATCCGAGTGTAAATTACACGGGCATGGATTACATTTAATATCCGTCGTCTCGTTTGATTTGTAATGACCGAAAGCGCAATTTTCGCAAGACGAACCAGAATATTCGGGGGGACAGTGACAATCTTCCGTCGGGTATCGTTTACTACCGAATTCTTCGTCCGTAGGTTCCACCGCGACGGAAAACAGGCTGTAATAATAATAATAATAATAATAATAACGAAACGATTATTTGTCGTCATCACAATGACGTCATCATTTCTAATATTTTTTCTAATAAAAATCAATCTGTCTCACCTGCCTTCGACTTGATCCGTGTGAAATTTAGCTCTTAGCATTACGTGTTTAACATTTGCCAAAACGTTTAAAAATTTTTCTCTTGTTATTCCACTTCCGCGATATTCCGTTCTTCGAAGTCTCGTACGAATATCATCAACTTCCGGAAGGATCGTATACCAATTTTTTTCTATTAAATTAACTTTTAACGTTAAATTTTTTTTCCTTTCTTCGTAGGTTTCTTCGCCGTACCCTAATTTCACTCCGTCGCCGCTCTAAAAATAAACACAAGAAGAAAAATTAAATGATTTTTATTTGAATATTAATGTAGTCGGAACTCTCCTCTACTTACAATGAGAACAATATTTGGACCGACGGTCGGTTGTCCACTCGTATCACCTCTCATGGCTTCCCATCCGACTTTAAATTTAAAATTCATATTTCCATATAAGGTAATAAGATTTCCAAAAATATTCGTCGGAGCCAACCAATAATAACTTTCGACTCCGGGAAATTCGTAATTGGCTATGTACAAAGCTCCCGTTTCGGGATCTTCCGACGGTGTTATCGTTTTGACGTGAGCCAAATCTGTTATCACCCATCCTTCGAGAGATGATTTCTAAAGCATCCAAACGTTTACGATTAATCATTTAAAAAAAAAATAAAATGGCGGCGTGTAATACTCACGATTGTATTTCGAGTGAGATTAGCTTCCCTACACACAGTGCTGACACCCGAACAATAACATTTTGTGCATCCCTCAGGATTGTATTCGCTTAAACCAAAATATCCGGGTCGGCATTCGTCGCAAAATTTTCCGACGACGTTGGCCTGAAGAAAACCAATTAATTATAAAAATTACGTTTGATTAATGCTGGGAAAAACAATACACGTGTTACTCACTTTACACACGCATGGCAAAACGCAATCTTCGTATTGTTGAGAACCTTTTGAATCGCAGGGACACGGTTCGCAATTCGGAAAATTTCTCCATCCGGGTGCGCATTTATCACATTTAAAACCCGCGTAACCCTTTTTACATTCGCAAGAACCAACCAACTATTAATTAAACAATTATTATTATTATTATTATTATTATTCGATTGGTAAAAAACACGGTGATTACTTATTATTAACACAAATATTACGTCATCGGAAAATGTATCGTCGCTTTGAGTGCAATTTCCGGTCGAACCCACGGGATGACAATCGCATGGAAAACAAGGATTCGGATCATCCGGTAATATTCCCGTCGGTCTATACCATCCCGTTTCGCACGTTTCGCAATTTATTCCAGACGTGTGATTCTGTAATGATAACAACAACATACATTTATCATCATCATCATCGTCGTCATCATCGTATCACGTGCACGCCGCGTGCTAACAATCTTACGTTACAGTCGACGCATCGTCCTCCGCCGCGATAAAATCCATTTATATCCAAACTTGATTTTTCTTCTGCTATTTGGGTATTATAAATGCACTTATCGGAATGACCGTGACATTCGCACATTTCGCACACTTGGACCGTTTCAATCGTGCCCGGAGACCATGGAAATTGGTTAAACAAGGGACAACATTCAGTACAATGACTTCCACATGTGTTATGTTCGCAAACGCACGTTGGTAACTGAAATAAAATCATATTAATTAAATGACTCCACAACGTAATAATAATAATAATAATTTATTTATTTAGAAAAAAGGAAAGAAAAGAAAATTATCCGTGCATAATTTTTTATTAAAAAAAAAAAAGGGAAAAAAAGAAAATTTACTCCGGTAATTTTATTAGGAACACATTTAGATGCATGACCATGGCACAGGCATTGACCTCCTATTATTATATTTTTTATGGAATAAAATAACTTTTTACGTAGAATGAGATCTTTTTCAGTCTTATGTATTTTTTGAAATTTAAATCTAACGTAACGAGCGAGTGTGAAATTTCTAAGGATTTCGCTTGTATAATTAAAACTCGGCCTTCCGTTAATAAGAGATACGTGTACCTGAAACAAACAAACAATTAATATTATTATTATCGTTACGAAGCGGAAACGGTTTTCAGACCCCGTGCCTGTCCATCACGTACCTCTTGATTATCAATATAATATAATTTAGAATAATTGATAAGGCAAATAACTTCGTCGTCAGTCTTGAAAATAGGTTTAGGTTGTGAGGCTGGCATTCCGTATCGCCTCCTACATTCTCCGCTACTTTCTGCAAAATATTGCCATGGGAAAAAATTTAAACCGTCCAATGATCTTTCCAATACCCATGCCACCGGTAGCGGTGCTATACTCGCTTTGATCGTTACGTATGCAACCTGATATACCTGAAAAAAAATCATCATTATTATTATGATTTGACTATAACAAGATTTAAAAAATGATTTGTTTAAGTGGGAAGATTTTTCCTGGAGTTGACAGTGACTGAGTCACTCATTTAAAAAAAAAAAAAAAAAAAACAAAAAATCGTCTGGAAGTTATTAATTTTTAATTTCTAATAAAATACATGTAAATTGTCATCTTCTATCTCTCTCTCTCTCTCTCTTTCTCTCTCTAAAAAAAAATTTTATGTATTTCTTCTTCTCATTAACGATCGTATCAAAAAAAGAGAGAGAGAAAGAATAAAAACAAAATGCCGAACGTTTCTACCGTTTTTTTTTTTTTTTTTTTTTTGTGTCTGTCTGGTTTTTCAAAAGTCAATCAAAAATAAACATTTCACACGTGCACACGCACACACGCACGAACGCACACGCGGGAATGAAATTCTCACTCACGTTCGTCTCGCGGTTAAAAAAAAAAAAAATTTCTTTGCAAAGGAGGAGGAGGAGGAGGAGATGATGATGGATATTGGGAGTGTTCTGTAAAATTTTATCTTTTGACTAATTAGCACTAATTTTTTTTTAAATATCAAATAATAATAATAATAATGATAATGTCTTTAACCCCCTCCCCCTCCCCCGTTTATTAGAGTCGTTAGATTTAAACGTTTTTTCAATAAATGAATTTTTTTTTTTTTTTTTATTGAATTTATTTTAAACGTTTTTAATGGTAATATATCAAAGTGTTATCCAGCTGTTTGAAAAGGGTTTAACGTTTAAAAACAACCGCTGGAAAGTTTCTTTCTTTCTCTCACTCTCTCTCTCTTTCTCTTTCTCTAACGAACGAATCCCTTTAGAATTTGTTTAAATTAAATTTAAACTCAATCTCTTTGCCACGGTGTAATTTATAACTTTTTTTTTGTTTTGTTTTGTTCTCTATGATTCGATTCAATGTCCAGATGAAAAGTGATGCCAATTTCCTTTTTCATACGTTTAAATACTCTATGAAAATTTACATTTAAAAATAAAAAAAAATGTCCGCCGTTTTTACTTTTACATAAGCGTCGTAATTCATTGTGAGTCGTAAATAAAAAACGAATTCATCATGATGAGAAAATTTTTTTTTTTTTTAAACAAAGAACCGCCATTTTATTATTATTATTATTATTATTATTATCATTACTATTATTATTATTATTATTATTATTATTATTATTATTATTATTATTTAATTTAATGTAGCTTTGAGTGTTTGAAAATAATTTGGCGGCATCGTAACAAAAATTCGTTCAAGTGGTCGATTAACGAACGTGTGTCTGGTACGAACGTGAAAGCGTTACAAATTTTTTTTTTTTTTTAAAAATTATTTCGTCGAATATATAAAAATTTTAAAAATCAGAGCTGCCAACATTTGATCCCCTTTAAAAAAAATTTAAAAAATCAGGGCTGCCAACATTTGATCCCCTTAAAAAAAAAAAAAAAAAAAAATTTTTTTAAATTTCATTCGCGGTAAATCCGATCGTAATCACGTGGTTGATTTTTTGTTTTTAAACAATAACAAACATTTGATTATTATTTTTAAATAAAATTATTTTACGCGCGTAAAAATTACGCGGGGAAAACGCTGCGTAAATTCCTTTTTTCCTTTTTTTGAAAATTAATTTTATTTAAATGTTCTCGGTCGATAATAAAATAGAAAAAAAATAAATAAATAAATTACTTAATGTTTGGTTAACGCGCGACACGACATTTTGAAATTTTTTTAAATTATCATCATCATCATCGTCATCATCATTATCCGAACGGGATTTAAAAAAAATTATAAAGAAACTACCAAAGTGGTAGCAATAATAACAATAATAATAATAATAATAATAATAATAATAATAATAATAATAATAATAATAATAATATTAGTAACGATAATAAAAATTTTAATTGAACGCTTGTCAATGTTTTTTTTTTATTTTTATTACTTTGTTAACAGTTTCAAACTCCATTTTAAATTTTTTTTATTGATTTATCTGTTTTTTTTTTAACGGAAAGAGGAGAAAATAATAATAATAATAATAATAATAATAATAATAATAATAATAATAATAATAATAATAATAATAATAATTAATTTACGAGTGTGAATCTTTGAGAATTGTAATAATTTTTTACATATCCCCGATCTTTTCCCCCTACCCCCTAATAACCCCTCTTTAAAATTTTCACTTTGATACCTTATCAGTTAAATTTCGAGTTTGATTGATATTTTTTTTACCTAAAAAAGGTCAAAGGTCAGGAAAACTATTAAAAAAAATATTCTCGACGGGTATCGTACCGACGGTAAGTTAAATTAAATCAATTAATTATCATTATCATTATTTTTTTTTTTCCTATTCTCGAGGATTAAAATTTAAAAAAAAAAAAACCAAAAAAGGCAGAAACAAGTCGAATATTTACAAGTTTTATGAGGGGGGCGAAGGGAGGAGAGGGGGGGAAAAGGCGAGATCATTATTTACAAAAATAATAATAATAATAACAAAAATTTAAATTCTGACAAGATTCGGACAAGAAAAATCTGGAACTTTTTTTGTTTTTTTTTTTTTTTTTTTTTGTTTTTAGGGATTTTTAACGGAAGTTTGTTTTTACTTATATTCCAAAAGGAAAGGAAAAGGAAAAAATAATAATAATAATAAAAGCTTGGATTGCAAAGAACTTTATGGAAAAACAAATAGAAAACCTGCCAAAAAAGTTTTTTAAAAAAAAAAAACTTAACAGATCTAAATTGGTTTCTAAACACAAAAATAAAAAAAAAATCTAATTAGGGGAGAATTGTAAAATTGACAGATTTTAGAATTTTTTCGAAAGTTACAAACACACAAACACAAACACAAACATAAAAGTAAAGTTTTCTATTTTCGTCTTTCTTTCAACAATGCCATTGAATCGGTGAGATTTCAGCTGCTTTGTGGCTTTATTTCAACAAAAAAAGGGGGGGGAGAGAGAGAGAGAGAGAGAAGGGAAACCAGGCCGAAAAGGAAAAATATTAAAATTTTTCATTATTATTATTATTATTATCGCAAAATGGACGAATACGTCATAAATTTTAGTTTAAAATGAAAACTCATCATACGTCACACATCCGTATCGTACCTGAACGTAAACATTCAATGCATAATCCAAAACAACAACAACAACAAAATTTTTTTTTCGTCTGCTTGCACCAAATATCATTCTAGAAATTTCTATTTAAAAAAATTTTTTCGTTTCTTTCTCGTTTTGTTGTATAATTTTTGACCTTTCTTTGACGCAGGGGTTCAAGAATTTCAAAAAAAAAAAAAAAAAAAGTTGTTTGTCTTACCATAAACTATTTAGTGAATGTTATTAGGCGCCTTCTAAAACATCCCCCTCTTCTCCCCTTCCCTCCCCCTCCCCTCTCTCTCTCATCTCGCTATCCCTTTCCGTAACCCCCCCCTAGTCTACCTCACCCCCTACTTTCCTTACTTCCTTCCTTCCTCCTTTATTTCTCATCGTTTTCTTATAATCTCCCTTTACCTTTAGTTTAAATTTATTTATTTACCCTTTCTTTTCGATATATTTATTATTTTTATCTTTTCTCTCTCTCTCTCTCTCTCTCTCTCTCTCTCTCGTTTCTTTTAAAATGTGACGTCACCACCTTCGTTAAAAAAAAAATATTTTCGTGTTCTCTCCGCGACGAATTTTTTTTTTTTTAATTGCGCGATCCCCTCCCCCCATTTTTTTCGGATGTGACCGTTTACGTACAGGTGGTGATGATGATGGTGGTGAGAGACCCGAAATTTCCTACAGGTATTGTACAGGTATGATTACAATTACAGGTATAATTGTACAAAAAAAAAAAAAAAAAATTAAATTACTTTCTACTGCTTCGAAACTCGTACACACACACGCACACGAAGAATCCATCTCACAACCAAACGCGGCTTTAAGACTATTAATTTATTTCCCCCCGAAGAAGTTGCCACAAAAAAAAAAAACTTATGAGTTATATTTATTGTTGATAATAATAATAATAATAAAATAATGCTTTCTTTCTCTCTCTCTCTCTCTGTTACCCCTCTCCATCTCTCTCTCTCTCTCTCTTCCCCCATTTCACACACAAAAAAATTTTTTGATGTTATTATTAACGTTTCAAATGTTTAGTCTTTCGGTAACATAAAATACGAATAATAATAATAATAATAATAATAATAATAATAATAATAATAATAATAATAATAATAATAATATTGTTATTACATAATTAAATTATTAATAAATTTTCACGAAAGAGTGGAAATGTTTATCAACGGGTTATTATTAAATTTTTCACTGAGGCCACACATTTGAAAAAATTTAAAAAATAAATAAAATAAATAAATAAATAAATAATTTTTGTGTGTGTGTGTGGATCGAGGCACGGCAGGTATTTAAGGTTTAAATCCTTTGACTATAAAAAAAATTAATTTGTGGGAACAATAATAAAATTGGGCTGTACTAACTTATGTATGTAGGATGAAGAAAAATAAACTTAAGAAAGAGGAAGGACCACAAAAACAAAAAAGAAATAAACACGACCTCGCCCTGTGCAAATGAACCCCACTGCACCCTATTAAATATTTTTTTTTAATACAGGTATCATAAATTTGACTTTGAGGCAGATAAGGTATGTTAAAAATGATGACGATGCTTGTTTTAATTCCCCTCCCCTCTTTTCCCCCTTTTCCCAACCCAATCCTACTCCCTACCTTTCCCACACCGTAACTTATACCATTTACAAAATTATTATCATTATTATCATCATAATGACCATTTTTTACGTCACGGATGTCGTACATCAATTAAAAAATATAATTTAACTCACTTGTTTTAAATCTAACGTTATCGTTATGTACTCGTATTCCAGACCGTTTTCCAGCGTCGGACTTATCCACGAATCTTTACTTCCGTCTATTGTTTTTTTTATACCGTTTTTTTTCGAATCGCATAACGTCGGTATGCACTGATTCGCTTTTCTCGCTTCTTTATCCGTCGGTCTCCTGCAATAAACTTCCGGTCTGTTTGCACCGCACGTACCGTTGACTAGTATATCCGCATGTTTTGCAACGTTAAATATCCTTGGAAAAAGACCACCGGATTTGGAAAACGTGTTGTACGACAGCCTGGATGCATCTGCAATTACCAAAAAAAAAAAAAAAAAGGTATAAATAAACCTGAAACAATCGTATTCATTATCATTCATTCATTCATTCATTCATTAACGTCAGGTATTGATTGATAAGAACGAAAAAACCTTTGCCTATGACCTTTAAGGTACGGAATAACGTTTGTGTAATTACATACTATTCTCCAGCGATTGTCTTTTAAATAACGCGCGTTCGAATCCATTTTTTTTTTTAAATTGTCACTCTATTCACGTGTCACTAACATTCAATCACGTGTCACACAAAATACCAATACGTTATGATTGATGATGATGATGATGATGATAAGATTCTTGTATTATGATATCGTGCTATTAACGCAATTACGCGGCGTGATTTACGTAATATCTGAATTTAACCGACAAAAAAAAAAAAATGTCGGTATCAAAGTGTTACCATATCGATACTTATCAACTTGTACATTCATCTTACTCCATTTTTTTTTTTTGAAACATCTTTATTTTAAAAAAACGTTTATTAACTTAATCCATCATAACATTTTTAAAATGAATAATGCGTAGACGTTAATTTAAAAAAAAAATTAAGTTCTCTGTGTGCCTTACGAAAAAAAAAATTTTTTTAACGGCTTTTGTGCGTGTGTGTAAAATCTATTTAATTTTCTTTAATTGTAGTTAATACGTTGGCTTCTCCAGTAATTTTTTTTTTTTTTTTTGGTACCTGAACGGTGAAAAGTCCGTCGGTATAGTTCAAAGAATTGTCTCTAATAAAAAGATGAGATAATGTTTTTTTTTTTTTTTTTTTTTTTACAAGGGATTTTATTGCTGGAAATGTGTTAACTCTTTTTCTGCTGGACCACCAAGACATTTTTTTTTTCTCCAAAACGACGACAAATTTAACAAACAATTATTACATTTATACATCATTATTATTATTATTATTATTATTACACCAAAATGAAAAAATTACTATTATTATTATTAATAATTTTATTTCTCAACGATTATTATTATTATTATTAAGAGAAAAAAATTTAAGGTTTAATTAACCGTTAAAAATTAAGGTTCTTCCTTTTTTTTTTTTTTTCAAAGGAAAAAAATTAATACCCGATCGTTCAAAAGCGGGAATTTAAAAAAAAAAAAAATATCTTATAGTTCTCCTTCGTAAAATGAATGAAGCCCCCCACTTTCCTCCCTGCCCCCCCGTAAAAAAAAAAAAAAAAATTAAACGACGTGCGCGAACGCATTGAATTTGTTTTTTTTTTTTTTTTTTTTTTTTTTTGGGTGTTTTTATATAAATGATATCAAATTATGTCAGGGCGGAAACGAAAATTCCAAAACAAGAATTTAAAAATTTAAATTTTCGTCTAATCGGTTTTAAATCGATTACGCACACGCACGCACGCACGCACGCACGCACACACGTGCACGACGAAACCATTGGTGACAAATACGCGTGTCGTTATTTTTTTAAAGAACAAATTTATTCGTTTAATGCCGGCGTATTATCGCAAAACGTTTACTTCACGCGGAGTGTTCCTTTATTGCGTAAGGCCTTTTATCGCGTTAAAAACTACGGAATAAAAAAAAAAAAGAAAAATGTCGTTTCGGTCAACGTTTTACCAACTTTAATTTTTTCCCTTCAGTGCCACCCGCGACAGTGTAACAAATTTATTTTTTTTTTTTTTTTTTTTTTTATTCACCATTTTAAAATGCGAGTCACTCAAAGATTATTATGGTGGCCACATAAATTACCGGTACATATATACATATTTTTTATCAACTCGTTTTGGTCAGTCTCTCTCTCTCTTTCTCTCTCTCTCTCTCTTTCTCTCTCTCTCTCTCTCTTTCTCTCTCTCTCTCTCTCTCTTTCTCTCTCTCTCTCTTCTTTGTCTCCGACAATATCTTTCACTAGCCTAATCAACTCTCTTTTGAATTTTTTTTTTTTTTTGTTGTGTATAAATTCTTATATTACGGATTATTGTCAAGAGAAATTCTGATTTAAAACGAAAAAATTATTATTATTATTATTATCAATGAAAATTTCATATTTGTTTATTTTTTTTTTTTAAAAGAAGAAGTTTATAAAACTTCGTGATCATTTTGAAAAAAAAAAATCTTTTTAAATGATTTAACTGATGATCGGATTAATTTGAAAATAGTTTTACTAGAGCATAACTTCTTTTCATTTATACAACAACAACCACAACAACAACAGAAATATATATATTGTATATAAATCAAACGAGTCATAACTTAAAACACGTTACTTTTGATTTATTTTTTTTTATGGAAAAAAAAAGAAAACCACATAACTATTATCAATGGTCAGGATGTTCCGGTATTACAGTTTTTTTTTTTTTTTTTTTTTGTTGTTGTTGTCAACCCTGTTCGAATAAATGAACGTATGAGAGAAAAATTTATTATTTGAAATGATAATAATAAAAAAATATTTCGGTGATGTTATATTTAAAAAAATCATTTAATTACGTGGATTGAAGTGCAACAAACAAACGAACAATCAATCAGTTGCTAGCAATAAATAAATTTTTTTAAATCGAACAAACAAACAAATAAACAAATACTCGATTCGAAACAAACGTTTTTTAACACTAACAAACTTGCAATAATAATAATAATAACAATTCGAAAAAACTTATTTAAAAAAAATAACAATAATAATCAAATGGGCGAAAACAGTTGTCAGTCAGTCAGTCAGTCAGTCTCTCAAAGGGAAATAAAGGAAAAAAAATACAATCGAGTGAAATGATAATAATAATAATAATAATAATAATAACAACGCCTTCTCGAAAAATTGATTTAAAGCCAAAATAAAATGTCATCATGAGATTTCATCGAATCGTAACGGCTGGACACGAATTTTATTTTTTATTTTGGGCGCCATGTTTACCAATTTAAATCTCCTACAAAAAAAATTTGTTTCGTAAAATTTACGAGGGAACGTACATGTAAATCGCAAACGAAAATTTGTCCATCAGTCTCGGCGACATTTTTTTTTGTAAACAAGGTTGCAAATTCTTTTGTCGAAACTAAAAAATTCATAGAGTAAATAAATCACGTTTTTAACTCATCGACAAATAAATAAATAAATATTGAAATTTTATTTATTTATTTATTTTTTAAATACAATTTTCCACATTTCAAATTCTCAACAGCCTTTCCTAAAATAATAATAATAATAATAATATTAGTAGGAGAAGACGAAAAAATGTTTGAGATTAAAATCGGATTCGACTGTTTTTTTTTATGTTTACGATATTTTAAGAAGAAACTAAAAATGTTTGTTTGTGTCTCATTCTACGAAATAATCGAAAGAATTGTCGCATAACAACAACAACAACGACAACAACAACCAAATGTCACCACGAAAAATGTGTTTTTTTTTATAACTCGTACATATAAAAATATATATCTTTTTGTTGAAAGGTACTTCCTGATTTACACCTGTTCTTACATGTAAAACGCTTCTGTGTGTGTGTGTGTGTTCACCTTTGTTCGCAATACAAAGGTGGGGGATGAGGGCAATTTTTTTTTTTTTTTTTACTACCTGATAGTTTCCCTTTTTTTTTTTTTTTTCATAACCGTTAGTTACAATCGACAAAAGAAAAGCCGAAAAATCTTGTCAAATTTTTTTTTTTTTTTTTTCCTTTTCCTTTTTTCTTTTTATTATTATTATTATTATTATTTCACTTTTTAAAAAATTACCTCTACTTTTTTATAATAGCCGGAGGCATTTACGAAAAAGAAAAAAGTTAAATTGTAAATTTGTTATGGATTATTAACTTCTTTTTTGGAATTTTTATACTGAACACGTGAAAATTTGTTCAGTACAGATTGTAAAATTTTTATAAATTAACGTAATTAAAAAAAAATAAATTTTTTGTGAGAAAATGTTCTGAAGTATTTGAAAAAAAAAAAAAAAAAAAAAAAATTATCGAATAAATAAATAGGAAATTGATCCTGTCATAAAATAAATAAATAAATCTTATTGACGATGCCTCCGAGATATTTTTTTTTTTATCACAAAACGTTTTACTCTTGGATATAATTAAATTTAATATTGCGAAACGTTATTATTATTATTATTATTATTATTATTATTATTATTTATTAATTATAAATCGGGGGAAAAATAAGATCGATCGATTATAATAACGAAGAGGTAGAGAAAACTCATTCATTCATTCATTTTGTTTTAACGTAGTAAAGTCACCTTTTTAAAGGTTTCCTGGATGAAACGGAATGAATTGATGGGAATTCATTGAGTAGAATGATGGCTAAAGGTTTCGAATTAAATTTTTTTTTTTTACGAGATGATTACATCAACGTTCGATACGTTCGTAATTTTTTTATCAATGAATTTAAATAATTAATCATCATCAAAAAAAAAAAATGAAATAGTCATCAACTCATTGTATCGTTTTCTCTCTCTCTCTCTCTCTCTTTTCTTTACGTGACCTCGTTATCCCTTTTCTTTCTAAGCAAATTAGTCGCGTTTGATTTTTTAGGTACGAATTTTTTTACGAAAAAAAAAAAAAAGGTACGAAGAAAGAAAGAAAGGATGAAAGGTAGAGAGAGAGAGAGAGAGAATCAAGGTATATAATTTTATTACATCTCACCGATGATAAATTTAATAAAAAGGTGACTTTGACGTGAATGAGAGATATTATTTAACCGTTTTTCTGTAATGTTCAACGTGGGTACCCATTAATTTCGACGAACAATGGGGGGATGCAACAGTCATTTTATTGCTTTAAAAGTACCTACACGAAATAAAAAAAAAAAAAAAAAATTTTTTTGTTTTCTGAGACTAAATATAAACTTAAAAAAGATTTCATCTCCCATCGTTTAAATTCTTTCTTTCTTTCTTTTTTATTATTACTTTCAAAGAGGGAGAGAGAGAGAGAGGGGGGTGGGGAGGGAAATTTATTATTGAAAATGTTAAAATTTATGTTTAAAGCTTTGTTATGTTAAGAGTGTTAATGAGATATCGAACCTTTATTTTTTTTTCTATAAGGCGCCAGGGGTTGAAATTGTTTTTCGTAGAAATGAACAGGTGTAAACCTACAAAGCGTGCGTGTGTGGGTTTTTTTTGAGGGGGGGTCTTCACCGGTAAAAACCGGTAATATAATTTTACGAAATAAAACCACATCGCTATAATAATACTAACGATTATAACAATTTTTTTTTCGGGGGGGTAAATAAA